AAGAATTGAAGGGCAGAGACACAGTAGTGAAGCAGAATAAAAGTTTTATGTAAAGTTACTTAGCCATGAAGAAGTGCAGGTGACCTCAGAGAGGGAGGAGTGCCCTGAAAGGTTGGAGAGAAAGAGTCTAATATTAAAAGCTCACACACTTAGAAAGTGTGGGTGACTTCAGAGAGAGGAGTGCCCTGAAAGGTTGGGAAGAGTTGAAGTTATGCACTTAGGAAGTGCAGGTGACCTCAGAGAGAGGAGTGCAGCATCATGAAAGGTTGAAAAGAGGGAGTTTAAAGTTAAAAGGTTCTGCACTTAGAAAGTGGGGGTGACCTCACATAGGAGCATAGTGAAAGGTTGGGGGCTCCATCTTTTAAAGATTTTTCAGGAATGTGACAGAGGGCTAGGGTGTGGGCTTGTTAAGTGGTCTTAAGCATCTTTGATGAGACATTAAGTTACTAATCAGTCCTCTAAGTAATTCTGCAAAATTAGCTTATCAAGAAGACTGTCTGCCTTTCCTCCAAGGTGGGCAGAGTTATTTGTTTGCTAAAGAGGTGGGATCTCCCTGTCTTTACTTTGCTGTTTATAGGTGAGCCTTTTAGCAGGCTAGAGTAAATCATACAGTGGTCTAATGGACACAATGAAGACCTGGGCTGTGTTCAGATACTTTTATCTGGGGAATATTCAAACCTCAAGGCCAAGTTTCTCTTGATCTTTTGAGCTTTAACTGATTAACTCACTAACTCTGAATCTTTTCTGGATTTCTGGATTTAACTGGTTAACCGAGTCCTTTCTAGGGGGCTTTGCTGACCCTGTACTCTTTCCACCCCACTCATATGTATTTCCCTGCCTAGCAGCCACGCCCATGGCCCATTCACCCCTGCAGACACCTGGCCTTCTGGGCCCTTTTGGCTCTTCACAGCCAGGGCCCCTCCCCGACCCCTCCCCAGACTCCAGATCCACAGCCCCTTTCTCGGGGCTGACCCCTGCCTCTCCCGCAATACCAGCCAGTGACGCCACCAAGTCACCTCCAGCCTCTCAGGCTGAGACATCTGCCAAACCCCAGGCCCCGCCTGCCCCAGGCCCCACCCTGAAGCCCAGTGTTCTCTTTGGAACGCTGAGCAGACCACCTGCTAACCCTTCTGCCTCGGCAGCTCCTGCTGTGTCTTCAGCACATCCCATGTTCAAGCCCATCTTTGTGGCTCCATCTAAAAGTGGGAAAGAGGGTCCTGTGCCATCCAGCCATTCCCAAGTTGCAACGGAGGCATCTTCCAGCTCTGCCCACACCCCGACTACCAGCAGACTGCCCCTCACTTTCAGTTCTGTTTTTAGCAGCACAGGGCTACCTACCTCTTTGCCCTTGTCAACTCCTTCCTCCTTCAGTCAGACAACTACTTCAGGCACTAGCACGAATGCCCCTCTGTTCCCCGGCCCGGCCAGTGTCAGTGTCCCCTCAGCAGCGGCTTGGGGGACCACCACCGGCACAGCTGCAGACTCCACCCGGAAGCCTGTCTTTGGCTCTGGTGTGAGCAGTGTGACCAGCACTGTGAGCAGCATTACCAGCCCCACTGCTTCCACTGCCCAGCCTGTCCTCTTTGGGTCCCCCCTTGCCTCTGCTGCCAGTTCTGCCCAGCCATGGGCTCCATACTCCAGTTTGGCAGGCTCTAGCCATGCCTGCTCCAACAACAGCTGTCACCTTCAGCCAGTCCCTGCCCGGCGCCATCTAGACAGCTGCTGGCAGCAGCACCGCCAGTTTCGGTGGCTTCAATGGCACCCTCACGACCTCTGCCCCCATCGCCCTGAGCCAGCCTGCACTGACATTTAGCAGCACTACCACCCCAGCCTTCAACATTCCCTTTAGTTCTGGCACCAGGCCCCCCTTCCCATCCTATCCTGGAGTCATGCCACAGCACTCGTTCGGAACCACTGACAGGCAGCAGATGTGCACTGCCAGCCAGCACTGGCCCCCAGCTTCGGCAGCTCCTTTCCTTTTGGAAGCTCAGCAGCCCTGGCCCCACCCCAGCCA